TCCAGGCGCTCTTTCTCTCGGTCTGCAGCGTCTTTGGCAGGGCGGCAGGAGCAATGCGAGGGCTGACGTCGTTAGCAGCGCGCCGCCTTGCAGGCAGGATCCTCCAGGGTTGGAAGGCACGAGGAGAGCCTGGCACGGCGCGAAACTTCGCGTAGTAGCGAGTAGCAATACATAAGCTGTAATATCACTTTCGATGCTTCTCCTAAGGCTCACCGACCATGCCTGCAGCGCTGTGGGCGACCGCCACGCCAGAGTGGCCGCCTGTGCTGCACTTAGCGTCTTTGCTGCTGCGCCGCGTCTGCCGCTGTCCTCTCCATTCAGCTGTATCGAGCAAGAATCATTAACCCATATTTCAGATTAACAAACCCGTGTCGAACACGCGGGGGCGAGCTCGCGGGCATCAGGCTCGAGTCGATGATCGCACAGCGGAGGACGATCAATTCATTATATCATGACCGTAATCATATATACGATGCAGACTTGGCACTACGCAACCAACACCCGCGGTGGTGTCTCGGGTTGTTGCAGAAAAACCGCCCAGTCCACCACAAGCGGGAGCAGATCCCGAATCGAGCTGGATTTCGAGTCATGCGTTTGTGAAAGGACCAAGCAAAGCATCAGTCCCTTCCTGGCACCGTTTTGTGGTTAATTTCCGCTGGCGCGACATCAGTCTTACGGCACCGTGCACAGCAGGGCAGGGCAGGGTTCATCGCTGCACATGTACATTCAGCAAGACTTTTGACAGTCAATGGAGGGCAACAGGAGACATGCTACTAGCAAGATCACCGCAGAAACCATGCAGCTGTCCCTAGTATCATCATGTCCCCCTGTTCTGCAAGCATCACGCGCCGGCACAGTGAGGGCTTCGCTCCGCCCAGCGTGCGGGAATCAATTTCTGCTTGGCTCCCCTTGTCCCACGTCCTTTGAAAGAAACAGCTGTCATTCGTACGCAGAGGATTCAAACAGGGGTGCGCGGATGCACGGCAGGAGTCTGCCGGGTATGAGGGTAGCACCACTGGAGTGGACCGGCGCATGCCAGCAGCGGCTCAATCACCAAGCGGCTTAGCTGGCCGTAATGCGCCCGCTGTGACACACCAGCGCAAGCAGGCTATGCCCGCCGCACAGCACATCCAACCGTCAACGTGTCACCACTGTGCGGGAACATGCGTCACTGCACCCCCGCTGGCGAAGCTTCAGAGCCGTCGGAAAGGGAAATGACCGTGCTATCGTCGCGCCTTTATTGCCTCGCTCTGCTGCCTCCAACTCGTCTTTCGCCAAGGGCCTGTCAGCCTGCGTGGAAAGGACAGCACTGCGATCGCTTGCCCTAGTGACAAAATCTTGCGCGACATATTTCTCTGTGTGTCGTTACTGTCTTGTGCGTGAGTTCACGTTCCAGACAGGAGCAGCCCGACACCCCGAGGCCCGTCAAGGAGGCGCGCGCTCGAGCTGTCTCGCTCGCTGCGCAGGCGCCGCTTCCACGGGGTCCCTCATCATGCCGCAGCCGCTTTGATCCATTGCTGCAATCCCAACTGACCAAGGGCAATCGCACGCTCTCCCCGTGCAGGCCACCCGCACCTGCAGGCGCACGCTTCGCACGCTCTGCTGCACCTTTGTTTTTGGCCGATCGGACGGCACCGAGCGGCTGGCCGGCCGCAGCACATATGGCCGACGGCGTCGAAGATGGTCCCAGCTGCAGCGTGTGCCTCAACCCCTTTGACTCTGAGGGCCGCAAGCCCTGGGACCTCGGTTGCGGCCACTCCTATTGCGAGGCATGCCTCAGGGCCCACCCCCGCTCCTTCAGAACCTGCCCAGGTGAGGAGCAGGGGGTGCTGGGGCACGCCGCGGGCGGAGGGTGAGCAGCAGCAGAGGAGGCGGGACAGCAGAGGGGGGCAGGGTGGTGGGGGCGGACGGCGACTGGGTGAGGAGCGGCTGCAGGGAGGCGCGGTGCATGAGGTGGCTGGCCCCCCAGGAGCCCGGGCCTGGTTGAGAAACTGCGGACGAGCAGCTCACCTACATAAGATTAGCATACATTGCTGCAGCAGCAGCAGCAGCAGCAGCAGCAGCAGCAGCAGCAGCAGCAGCAGCAGCAGCAGCAGCTAGGCACCCATGCCGCAGGCGACACTTCAGCAGCACCCTGCATCGCCATGGCTTGCCATGCCAGCTTGACCCCCGCCCCAGCCTCCGCTTTCCCATCAGCCCCCTCAAACCCCCTTGACCACGCGCCCGCACGGCAACCCGAACCCAGAGTGCCGCTCACGCGCCAGCATGCCACACGTCAACATCTCATTGCTGAGGATGCTGGGGCCCCCTCGATCAGCCGCAGCCAGATCACCACCCTCTGGTACCCCTCCCCGCCAAGAAGGTCAGCAATGCCTGCCACCTTGGACTCTCGACCATCAGGGTCTGGGTGCTTCTGGGACCGGGCAGGGAGTGTGTTTATCGGCCTGATAGCCAGCCTGCTGAGTTTGCTTTTGGCCAGCTGGAGTGTACCCGTGTGCTTGGCAGCGGACTAATAGGCTGTCCCTTGATCTTCCCATGGCCTAGCAGGTCCCCCCAGCACGAGACAGCAGTCACAGCGGCAGCCACAGCAGCAGCAGCAGCAGCAGCAGCAGCAGCAGCAGCAGCAGCAGCAGGCCATCCCAGACCTCATCTTTGGGGCAGGCGGCGGCGCCGCCGCCGCCCCGCGCCACGGCGGCAACCCCATCGCGTCCGCAATCGCGCTGGCCTCGACCATCCACCAGGCCGTCAGCCAGCGGCGCGCGGGGCCCGGGCACCGCAACCCCGAAGTGGCGGCCTGGAAGGTGGGGCGTGCAAGCACGGCTTGCCTTCCGCCCGAGGACGCGACAGAGCAGCATGCCTGTTGCGCCGGCTGCAGGCGACACGTTGTGCAGAGCACTGAGCATTGGAAACGGGACCCGGCTAACCCTCGCCACGAGCCCCGCGTAGCGTCGGCCGCATGTCTGCCAACATGTTCATGCTACTCCAAGGCGAAACCTTGGCTTTTTCGCACCGCAATCTTGGAACCTTGGTGGATTGGCACCCCTCCCATCCTTCAGGCAAGCGTCTGGACGTGGCTGGGGCCCCTGCTGGCGCTGCTCTACATAATCAGCCCATTGGACGCCATCCCAGACTTCTTGCCACTCATCGGGTGCGCGCATTGGTGATCTATTGCGACTTGCAAGCTTTGCAAACCCGGTTCCTGGGTCACTTGCAGGTGCAGCACAGCCAACACGCACTCAGTCGGCAATATACTCTGCTCCCTGCTTTACGGGATGCACATGTGCAGTCGCTCATCTGCATTCTGAAATGATCTTTCTCCTGAGAGGGCATGCGCACACGCACGCGCGCATGCACGCGCGCGCGCGCACACACACACACTCACTCACACACACACACACACACAAAAACACACACACACTCACACACACACACACACACGCACGCACGCACGCACGCACGCACACACGCACGCACGCACGAACGCACGCACGCAAGAACGAACGCACGCACGCACGCACGCACGCACACACACACACACACACACACACAC